CCACACACATGCAGAATGAGATGGAAAAGCAGCATGTACCACATTTAAACGAACATGGGCTGGGTGGATGTGTGAAATTTCTGAAACTTCCTCTCCTGATTCAATGGGAGTGGCTGGCAGGCACAGGGAATGGTGCTCTTGAGCATACTTGGCAGCTCTCTGGTCACCAGTAAGCCCTCCCACTGCCTGTTCTCTCATTCATGACCAAGTTTGCTGGAGAAGTGGGGAGAGATGGCAGAATCGTATCATAGAGTTGGAAGGGGCAATACAGACCATCTAGTCCGGCACCCTGCTCAAGTGAATCAGCCTAAAGAACCCTCAAAAGTTTCATCCAGCCACTGTTTTAAAGACTGCCAGTGAGAAGGAGCTCACCACCTCCCTAGGCAGCTGATTCCACTGTTTCACAACTCTTACTGTATACGTTTTTCCTAATATCTAGCTGGTACTTTCCCAACCCTTAATTTAAACCCATTATTGTGAGTCCTCTCCTCTGCTGCCAAAAGGAACAGCTCTCTGCCCTCCTCTAAGTGACAGCCCTTCGAATACTTCAAGAGAACAATCATGTCTCCCCTCAACCTCCTCTTCTCCAGACTGAACATTCCCAAGTCCCTCAGCCTTTCCTCATAGGGCTTGGTCTCCAGGCCCCTGCTTTCTGGTGCCGTAGAGATTTACCAAACAAATAAATAAGTTGTGTTAAAATAACATTTAGTTTAATATATTTTTTAAAAAAGTGATCATAGGCCATGGCTCCATAGCACAAAACTCAATATGAACTTGGCCAAACTTTGGATAAGGTTTGGTCTTGACTCTTACTGGGAGCCAGGTTTCTGAACTGGGATCCACCCTTTTGCTAATCCTCCCATCACAATGCTCTCACAGGTGTGCTCCGAACATCCTCAAAGGGTGAGTCCTTGACACTGAAAATAAGCACAAGAGCTACATCATGCTTAAACGGGCTATTTTTGGACAGGAACGCACAGGAACGGAGTTCCGGCTGGCTTCAGAGTTGGCCACACCCACTACACCCAAGCCAAGGAAGGCAGTTTAAACTGCCTCCCCTCCCCTCCAAGGGCTGGTTTACCCGGGCTCCTCACAGCCGTGGGGCGCCCGGGCAAGCCAAGGGAAGGCATGGAGGTGTGGTCTAATATGCTAATGAGTTTCTGCTGTTGGGTGTGGCCTATTATGCTAATGAGTTCCTGCTGGGCTTTTTCTACAAAAAAAAGCCCTGATGCTTAACTCAAATGAAGGCCAGGATTTACCTCTGTGGAAGGGATTAGAATTTAGCTCACTAAACTTTTTTTCTTTGTGACACCCCGTACACAACACATCTGATTCTGTCTAAATCTGTCTGACTCTGTATTTACAGAATGACACATCGGCTCAAGGAGTGGGCTGACCCTGCATAAATCCTTTTTTAAAAAAAAAAAACCGGAAGTAAAACACCATCCAACACAGTTATGCTCCTCAGCTGCAATGGGCCTTTAGAATCATCAAGAGAAGCCAGTTAAAGATGAAGACCAGATGTGCCAGACCAAGGAAAGCTATAAGGTCAACTGCTGCTGTTTGCTTCAATTAGGGGAATGCAAAAGTGATAGAAATAAAAGACCTACTTGCAGTTTTTACATTTCAGCCCAAACAACATCCCTTTCCCACAGACGGTGCATGTCTGAGACATCCAGTACTTGGTGGAAAACCTGCAGCAAGAGAGACAGAAAGAGATTGACCTCTGTTAAGCAAAAGCCCTTCCCTGAAAGAACGAGCATTTGTTCTTTAGTGAATCTGATTGGTCTCTGCTCCCCAGCCCTCCTTCCCGGGTCTCCAGGAGCATCGGAATTTCTTAATGATGCCAGTTTAGTAGCCAGAACAAGCCCATTATGCAGATTCCTTCCAGATGTTGTCTGACTTGAGCGGGAATTCTGAGCATATGCAATACACCAAAATGGCTAAAAGAGCACTGGGAATTAGGAAAGGGGAAAAAGGTGACCCTTAAAAAGTTCTTATCTCTCATAGTTTGGAAGTTTATATGCACAAGGAACAAAGTACCAACTTGCAGTGAGAAAGTATGAAGGGGCTTTTTTGGTTGTTTCAATTGATAGCTTGTTCTGTTCCATTAATCCCTGAACATGGTATATTTCCTCCTATTTTTCAACCTTACCAGAGGCTATGGGTCACAGGACTTTTTCTATCAGGGTTTCCCTGGATATTTTGCATGAGAAGTCCTCTGAATCTGCAATGGACCCCCTCAATGCCTTTTGGCGTATTCCTCACTTTCCAGGCCAGAGAATAAAAAATGAATACATGGGCCAGTAACAAAGAACATGCACATAGGTCCTTCTTCCATATCAAAACAGTCATCCCTAGTGGGATGAAGCTCTGAGCCCATAGGTGTGTGGGGAAAAGTGATCAATAAATCGAAAAGTGGTGTTCTTTCCAAATGCAGCCAGCCTCGCAAAGGAGTAGCAACAAGAGAATCAGGGACAAACTAGACGGTGATCTAGAGATGTAGGGAGGAGTCTCCTCTGAAAGCTTTTCTTTTTTCCATCATTGTAGAATTTGCCAAAGTATCAGAAAGAAGGGATGCTTAACCAGTCACCCTAAACAGTTTTCCTTATCAAATGCTGAGTTCCAACTCCTTGTCCTTCTACGGGGGAAAATATACATATATTGGGCATTGTTTCCCCATGCAGAGAAAAAAGTAGTAATGCATCAGTGTGTGTGTGTGTGTGTGTGTGTTTTCTATATTCCTCCCAATGTTCAGCTGCTGTCATTCAGTTTGGAGCGCCTTTTCCCCACGGCTGCAGGAGTCCAGGCAAACACAAATAAAGAGGAAACATTTCAAAAAATCTGCTAAATCCTTTTCAGAGCGGAACAGGTCGTTCCATCCATCCCCAAACTCTACATGTTCCATGTTTGCACGGTGCACTTGTTTGTTTATTTAGAAATTTTTAATGCTGCCTCCCCAGAGACAAGCTTGAGGCAGCTTACAGCTTAAAAAAAAAAAAAAAGCATTACAGAAAAAAATTAGACACAGAACTAAGCCAAGGAAGGACATAAAAACACATCAAGTAGCCTGAAATGATATAGAGTAAAAACAGCCATCAGGACAGAAGTAGACTATAAGTCAACACAGAGAGATAAAAAGCCCTCGGTTAAAAGCCTGTGTAAACTTTTTTTTTTTGGGGGGGCTGGCATAATGAGTTATGCTAATGAGTTCCCCTAGCTCTTTTTCTACGAAATGACCCCTGACTATAAGTCAACACAGAGAGATAAAAAGCCCTCGGTTAAAAGCCTGTGTAAACTTTTTTTTGGGGGGGGCTGGCATCTAAAAGAAAGTATGTAGGTATCAGGTGAGTATCCAGGGGAAGGGCATTCCACAGGCAAGGTGCCACCACTGAAAAGCCCAGTCTCCGGTCACCACCCACCTCAACTCTGCAAGCAGGGTCATGGAGAACAGTCCTTCAGCAGAGGACTGGTGAACTGCACAGAGTGGGTGGAGGTGTTCCTTCATGACCTGGCCCAAGACCATTTAGGGCCGTAAGGGTAAGAACCACCACTCTGAATAGTTTCTGGATACACAGAGGCAGCCAGTGCTGACGTGCAACACGTACACTCATTTGGCCAGCAGCCTGTGCTGCAAGTGCAGACCCGAGTGAGTTGAGTCCCGCAGCTGCAGAAGCTTTTGCCACAGACAAAGGCTCCTTCAGCTAAGCAGTCCGGACCATTCTCAAAAGAGAGTCAAGAGCCGCCTTTGGCTCCAGCTGCCTGCGTGTCAGCTCTTCCGCCCAGAAATCCTCCCTGTTCCCATTCCTTCCAAGGAATATGTGAGAGCAGAGACAGGAGGAAGGCTGCTTGCACGAAACTGATTTAAGGTCAGTGGGTCACCGATAACACAGCAGCAGTTTTTTATCAACAGCAGCTGGAGCCTTATCTGAAGTGACATCGGAATCGAAAGTGTTATAAGGGGCTCTTTCAAATCTGAAGCCGGAGGAGGTTGCGAACACATGCACCTGCGCATACAAACGCACACGCACGCACACACAGATACTCCTCTGCTTATCAGCAATCAGCGGTGCTGGGTTAGAGACTTGACTGCAGTAAATTACAGCACCCAGGCAGACTCCGGAGAAATATTTCCCACCAAACTTCTTTTCCCTGACTATGCTGCATGAGTGTGTGAGTGTTTTAGGAGAAGAGGAACTATTCTCCCCTCGACTGAAGGGATGTCACTAGCAATGTTCCCTCTAAGCTGTGGAGGCTTGTGAGCAAAAATTCTACTTTGTGAGCTACTGGCATTAAAGTTGTGAGTGAGCGATTTGGCTACTGCATAAATTAGTTTGCTCTGGAGCCATCCTTCCCGGGCTAAGACAAAAACGTGTGAGCTAGAGGCTAAAAAACTGTGAGCTAGCTCACACTAACTCAGCTTAGGGGGAACACTGCCCCTGACTATGCTGCATGAGTGCGTGAGTGTTTTAGGAGAAGAGGAACTATTCTCCCCTCGACTGAAGGGATGTCACTAGAAAGCCCCTAGACCAATTTGGTTCTTGTGGAAGGAGGCTTTGCTGCCAGAGGGACTGATAAAGAAGACGAGTGGACGGAAGGCAATGCAAATCGGGGACCCACGACGCTAAGGAACGGGTCCAGGCTCAAGCAGATTGTTTTGAAGCACTGGCACAGAAATAGCCTGCTTAAATAAATGTTGTTTTCCCCAATTTAAATCGCCCACCCACACACATGCATACCCTGGAGCTATTTGCCCAGCTGGGGGGGAAACATGCAGGTCCCATAAAGTGACCCTCCTCCAGCGCTATGGCTGCAATCGAAATCACACACACACCATGGCTATTAACTTATAAAAATGTGAGAGATCCATTAATGGATGTCCTGCTGTCATATATGGTTCATCCCACCTCCACACACGCTCTGCCGCTGATTAAGACCTCTTAGCATGACCGCAGGTGACCGGCATCCACATCCCCCAGTCTCTTGCAGCCTGCTTACTTTTCGGCCGAATGTCCTAATAGAACATCCCAAGAGCACATCGAGTCAATTCTCCCGCTCTCAACGTCTCCCTCCCGTTCGTATTCTTTGACACAGTTCAAAGTTTTTCTCCGGACTGCAGACTCCAATAATTAACCACCTTTTCCTTTGGTGTCAATTCAGTATGTTTTAGTGAGGGCTTCTGATGGGCCATCTGTAAAGCACATAGAATGGGTCTGGAGTTCCTAGCTTGTTCAGTGCAACGCAATCACATGTGAGTTGTGAGTTCTCCGCAACTCCTGTGTGTGTGGTGCCTGACTAGCATCAGGACCATGTAGAGAAGAGGCTTCAGTGTTTTCTCCCCTCTGCCGTTTTCCTAAGTTGAAAAAGTCTTGGGGGTGGGGGGTGGGGTCACTGTTCGGCCTCTTGGGGAAACCTATGTCTATCCCAGGGAACATGTGATTCCCCCCAACCTCAGCAAGCAAAAAAGTGGTGTTACAGGACTTTCCCCTGAGCTAAAGGCTTCACAAGAAGATTAAAAAACAAACACCAGACTGGTTATTCACCATTTTACCTATGTTTAATTGAGTTTCCAAGATCTCGTCGAGGAATTTGCGGGGACCAGCGAGGTACTGAGAGTGTATCTGCAGGATAGAAATCAAAGGAGAAGTGATTAATGACCAAGGAGAGAAACTCAGCCCTATCCACCACAAAAGTTCTTGCTTAACAAGTGCCAATGACTCTGAGGAAGGCCTGCACTTTAGTGACAGAGCACTGGGCTTGCATTCTGAAGATCCCAGGTTCAACCTTGGGTGTCTCCAGTTAAAGCATCTCAAGCAAAGGGTGTTGGAAAAGACCTCCCTCATCCCAAGACCCCAGAGAGCCACAGACAGAAGAAGAGGAGGAGGAGGAGGAGGAGGAGGAGATTGGATTTATACTCCACCCTTCACTATCCAAAGTAGTCTCAGAGTGGCTTACAAACTCCTTTCCCTTCCCCTCCCCACAACAGACACCCTGTGAGGTAGGTGGGGCTGAGAGAGCTCTGACAGAAACTGCTCTTTTTCAAGAACAGCTCTGACAGAACTATGGCTCCCCCATCCAGCAGGTGCAAGTGGAGGAGTGGGGAGTCAAACCCAGTTCTCCCAGATTAGAGTCTGCGCACTTAACCACTACACCAAACTGGCTCACAGCCAGGGTACAGCCAGAGTACACAACACTGTGTTAAATGTATGAATGTTCTGATGCATAAGGTGGCTTCAGACACTCTGTGTATGTGTGCACAACAAACATTCTGAAACATTATGAAATCAGTGAACAAATCAGGTAGAAATTATACTTTTTTTAAAAAAAATAATGGGGGTAATAAGAGGAACTGTTCATTGGATTCATACAGGAAATAACTTTACAGAATGTTAATTAGAGATAGGTACGTTATATTTTGAAGGGGGAAACTGCAGCTGGGGGGGAGGGATCATGGGGAAAATGTAGCTTTGGAAGCTAAACAACAACTCTGAATAGCATTTTTAATAATAAAATGCAAACATCACCATGGACAATAGATAAAAAGCTAAGTGATGAAAGATAAAATCAGTACCACCACACAGGGTTGAATAATGATGTTTGATATGTGTGTGTGATATTACTGAAGAATAATAATATTATGAGGAAGAATAATATGACAATAACATCAAGGTGCTTCCACACAAGACATTTTCTTTACTGCTGGCACATTACCTTACACATTTATTACCTTACTCATTTATTTCTGAAGTATCCAAACAATGATTCAAGCCATTATATTCCTGCATTTTTCCTGTTGTGATCCTGCTTCCCCTTCTAGTGCCAATTTATCACAACATTTTAAACTTCCACCACATTTGCAAGGCAATCCTTTCAGCTATGAACTGACTGTAGCAATACTGTCTCTCCCACTCGGGGCATAAGAGAAGCAGGTGAAATTGTTAGTGACTGCTTCTCTTGCTACATTAGCAATTATGCACCCTCTGAAACCAGAAGCCAAAAAACAGCCAGCTCCTGGCCTCCCAGAAGTCTGGTGAAACTGACTGTCAATTTCAGGAGGCTTCACCAAGCCCCAGTAAAGGGGAGGGAGAGAGCAATGTCAATTTCACAGTGTTAGTAGATTAGGGTAAAGCAAAGTAGAATAAGGCACACAAACCGAGTGGCCTAATGGACAGAGCAGAGCATGTGCGTATCGTCGGAATTCTGACACACTGTGGGGAGCACAACCACAAAATGGCTGCCGTGGGAGAAGAAGTCCAAGAGCAGGGGAGAAGAGGGGCAATTTTGAAAATACACTGGAAAAGAGGACTGAGAGAATGAAGCCAACACTGGTGGCAGCTGCTGCCGAAGCAACATTGTTTTAATCTGCACAGCCAATCAGATGTCCAATGGCCTATCAGAAGCTGTGCTGGACAACAGCCCTACCTGGCTCCACCCACTTTCTGAAAACACTAACAGCCAATCAGATGTCCAATGACCTATCAGAAGCTGTGCTGTGCCACCTGGCTCCACCCACTTTCTGAAAACACTTTGGTAGGTCCCAGATGAGGTGTCAGAGGGCACCATAATGCCCACAGGTACCACACTGGGGACCTCTGGGCTAGAGTATCAGACTAGGATCTGGGAGACCCAAGTTCAAAATCCCTACTCTGCTAAGGAAGCACACTGGGTAGCATTGGGCCAGTCACACACTCTCAGCCTAACCTACCTCACAGGGTTGTTGTGAGGATAAAGTGGAGGAGAGGAGAACAAAATAACTGCTTTGGGTCCCCACTGGGGAGAAAGATGGCATACACAGAAGCATGCACAGAAATATGCTTTTAAAACACATGGACAGAAAGTCTTACATGTTTTATTTTTAGTGCACTGTTTTAATTTGGTGGTAATCCTGTTTTATTCATTGTTGGCATAAATTATATTGTTCTTATTAATGGTCTAATCTACCTTGAGTCTCAGCAAGAAAGGCAGACTATAAACAAAATAAGACTATACACAAAATAAGATACCCTCCCTGCAAGTTTTTAAAATATATATATACACACACACACAAACTTGCGGGGAGGGTGGTATAGAAGCCTAATGAAATAAATAAATAAGACACACACACAAAGGTGAATGGAGAAGGTTTTTTCTGATCCCAGTCCGGAAAAGCCCAGACAAACAGAAAAAGTATATCATTTTCACCACAGCTTTAAAAGGATGAATACATAAAGGGAATGCCTAGCAACTGGGTTGGTGCTCTCTGGGACTGGGCAGGGGTGCCTTCTGTCATAATAAGCTCCTTTCTCCCACTAGAACAAGATCGATACACAAATAAACTGGAAAGGGATTCATTAAGTAAGAATTCGATTGGCTGCAGACTACAAAAGCCCTGACCTGGATAGCTCAGGCAATCCTAGTCTCATCAGATCTTGGAAGCTTAGCAGGGTTGGCCCAGGGTAGTATTTGGATGGGAGGCCACCAAGGAATACTAAGGTTGTGAGGTAGAGGCAGGCCATGGCAAACCACTTCTGAACGTCTCTTGCCTTGAAAACCCTATGAGGTCGCCATAAGTCAGCTGTGACTTGATGGCACTTTCCACCACCAGACTACCAAAAAAAAAGAAAAGATTTTAAAACAACACAGCACTAGCATAGAGTGCTATTTTAACAATATCACACTGGGGTTGTCTGGAATCATGCTTTCACTCGCTCAAAACTCTCTACAGACACCCTCAGTGGTTCCCTTGAGATCCAGCCATTGAATACACAGTTAAAAGAACCACAGCACTGCAACATGGAAGCATAGCGCATCTCCCTTAGAATACAGGCAGATCTCACTGTTTAACTTCTGTCCCACGGGGACTCTTGTATTTTGACTTGATAACTGCAGAATTGGATTTCTTTTTTTACTTCATCACAGCACAATTTCTTTATGTCCAGAGGCTTGACATTTATCCCTTCCTGCTCTGCTTCTGGCCAATTTAGGATAAAGCTTTTCCATGAAGTTTCTGCAGGTCTCCACTTGTAAGGATAAATAAATGCATTGTGTGCTCTAGAGAACGACTCGTAGACAGGCTATTTGGGTGTTGCTAGGGGCATTAGCTCTTCGGAAGGGCAGAGGCTCTGGGTACCAACGGAAAAATCAATATGATTCTCCAAGTCCAAAATGCCATCCGGCAGGAATATAAATCTGGGCCACTGAAATCTGACCACCTCCAGCCACCAAGCAGACTCCGGCGGTGACCCCAGGGTTTACTATGTATACCCGTCAATCCTTTTGCAAACATGCTCCCGAGTTCTTTTTTATATAGGCTGTGAACACTTCTGTTTGCTTTCATATCCTATTTTAATAATACAGGTGGAGGTGTTTTTAATTACGTGCCATTTCAGAAGGTTACATTTGCATGCTGCTTCCTGCACGGAGCCAAGGCTCCCTTCGCAGCTTAAGGACTACTCTTCCTCCCAGAGATGCTCGACAAGGTTTGCCAAACAGGTTGCAGTGAATTCGCTACATAAGAGCAAAAGAGCTCTCTCACTTAGGGCTGTCGGCTCCGGGTTGGGAAATACCTGGAGATTTTGGGGGTGGAGCTTGAGGAGGGCAGGGTTGGGGGAAGGGAGGGACTTCAACTGGGTATAATGCCACAGAGTCCACCTTCCAAAGCAGACATTTTCTCCAGGTGAACTGATCCCTGTCACCTGGAGATCAGTTGTAATAGCGGGAGATCTCCAGCTACCACCTGGAATCTGGCAACTCTACTTTTACTTGACTGGGATGTTCAGTCCGGTCTTCTCTGCCTCCAGCCAGGGCAAGCGAGATGCTCTTAAGTAGGAAAGCACAAGCTGGGGGCCTGAGGAATGATGGGCAGGCAGAGCGATTTGGAAACACATTCCCTCAAAGACCAGTGACTCAGGCATGCTCCTTTCCTCTCACCGCCCCCTTACCCAATTCTCGGATGCTTTCAGCATTCTACACCTCCGGGAGCATGCTCAGTTCTCATTCTTTGGTTCTTTTTTCCTTTTGATTAATTTGCAGTGTTATATTTTCTGCATATCGGGGAGTCCTCCCAGACTCATAATTTGTCTCCTGGTGGCCTTACTGGGCCGTTTTCGTGATTGGCATGACTCATGATAGATGTAATGATAAATAAAGATGCCTTCCCCTGTCATTTCCCCCCAGCAAAGGTGGGTAAAGCTTCTGAGCATGGCAAGCCTTGGCAAATTTTCCTCCGCTTTAGGAGCCAACCTCCAAAATTAAGGAGCCAGACTTATTTTTCAGCCTTCAGGGTTTTTATATATTTAACAAGAAGAGGGACCGGTGATACTAGCTGGGGGGGGAGAATCCCCCCTGGCTCCCGGAAGCAGGAGAACCTCAGGGCTGAGGAGGAAGCGGCCACAGGTAAACTCCCCCCCCAGCTCCGGCGGCGAGGCCTGAGTGGCTTCCAGTTGGTGATCTCCTCCTCCTCTGCCATTGCCAATCCCCCCCCCCGGCTCCAACAGCGAGGACACCAATCTCCTCATCCCCCCCAGCTCCACTGATCTCCACCGCCAATCTCCTCCCCCCCAACTCCAGTGATCTCCTCCTCTGCCGCCGCCACCACCGATTTCTTCTCTCCCCCCCGCTCCCGTGGTGAGGCCTGAGCGAC